AAGGCTGCCATCACTTTACCTTTTTCTGCTGCCTTTCTAGCCTCTGAGTCTGCCAATTTATTGCCAATCTCTTGGTCGGTGTTACCTTTTTGGTGCCCTTTACAATGCATAATAGCTACTTTTTCTGGAAGATTTACGGCTTCTAGTAACTTTAGAATTTCTTTTGCATGTTTAATATATTTTCCTGGAGCAGTGAGAAGTCCTCTTTCCTTCCAGATAGCACCATGGGCATGTACAACCCCAAAGGCATACTTTGAATCTGTCTGGATATTAATCTTCTTCCCTCTTGCCAGCTCTAACGCTCAGGTTAGGGCAATGATTTCAGCCTTTTGTGCTGATGTCCCCGCAGGTAATGATTTTGCTCCTATTACCTTTTGGGTAGTGGTCACAGCATACCCTGCTTGGCGTTCTCCGTGTTTCACAAAGCTGCTTCTGTCTCTATATCAGGAGTCCTCGGCATCATGGAGCGGCTCCTCTTTTAGATCGGGGTGGCTGGAATATACTGCTTCCATCGTTTTTAAACAGCCGTGAACCACCGGCTCCGAGATTTCCCCGCTAAGGAAAGAAGCTGGGTTCAAAATGTTAGTGGTGACTATAGTTATATCATCTTGTTCCACTAGTATTGCTTGGTATTTCAGAAACCTAGAGGGGGAAAGCCCATGTCCTTCTTTTTGTTCTAACACGGCTGAAACCGTATGAGACACCGTTACTGTCATTTTTCTGGTCCATTGTAAATTTGCGTGCTTCCTGTATGTTCAGGATAACTGCAGCTACTGCTAGTAGACATCCAGGCCACCCTCTGCTGACTTCATCCAATTGCTTGGAAAAGTAAGCTACTGCTCTTTTATAAGGGCCTAGTTGTTGGGCCAGCACCCTGAAGGCTATTCCTTGCCTCTCATGAGAAAATAGCTGGAAGGGTTTAGACACGTCAGGAAGACCTAGGGCCGGTGCTCTCATCAGTTCTGTTTCCAGTTGTTCAAAGGCTCTTTTTGCTTCTCCCGTCCAGGTCAACTTCAACTGATTATCTTTTAGTAATTGATATAACGGTTATACTAAGAGTCCATAAATATATATCGATAATCTGCACCATCCTGTCACACCTACAAAGGTCCTAAGTTCTTTTGCAGTTCCTGGCAATGGCGTGCAGCAAATAGCTTCTTTTCGACCTTTACTGAGTTCTCTTTGTCCTCCTGAGATCTCAAATCCGAGGTAAGTGACTTGTTGCTGAATGACTTGGGCCTTTTGCTGGGAAACTTTGTACCCACTCAATCCCAGAAAATTTAACAAGCTCACTGTCCATTGGGCACAGTCCTCCTTAACAGTTGTAGCTACTAGTAAATCATCCACACGTTGTAATAAAGTCCCTGTCTGAGATGGAGGAGTGCATGTTTCGAGTTCTCGGGCCAACTGGTTCCCAAAGATAGTGGGGCTATTCTTAAATCCTTGCAGTAACACTGTCGAAGTTAACTGTGTTTTTCTGCCTGTTTCAGGATTTTCCCATGCAAAAGCAAACAGCTTCTGACTTTCTGCTGCCAAGGGCAGACAGAAGAAAGCATCCTTTAGGTTCAGTACGATAAACCAAATTTGATCATTTTTCAATGGAGTTAATAATGTATAGGGGTTTGCAACCACTGGGTGCAAATCATCTACAATCTTATTTATTGCTCTTAAATCCTGTACTAGACGATAATTCTTCCCATCTGGTTTCTTCACCGGTAAAATTGGGGTATTATACTCTGATTCACACTCAATTAGTAGTCTGAATTGTAAGAATTTGTCAATAATTTCCTTTACAGCTTTTCGATCCTCCAAGCGTAGAGGATATTGTTTAATTCTCACTGGAATTGTCCCTGGCTTTAATCTAATTTCTATTGGCTTAGCATTTCTAGTCTTACATGGTGTTCCAGATGCCCACACTCCTGGGGATACCTGATCCAAAATTTCAGACGGTATTGCATCTTTTTTTCTCAATCTGCAATAAGGACAGACTTAATACTTCAATTAGTTGGTCTCCTTTTACTCTAAATTCAATTCCTTCAGTATCAAAAACAATGTTTGCTCCCAGTTGTTCCAATAAATCTCGGCCTAATAAAGGTTTAGGGGCTCCAGGCAAATAGAGAAACTGATGAATACCTATTTGTTTTCCCAATTTATATTTTATAGGTTGCATAAAAAAAGCCTTTTCAGTTTGGCCAGTTGCTCCTATCACAGTTACAAAGTCTTTGTCTATAGGTATTAAACATTGATTCAAACCAGAGTAGGAAGCCCCCATACCCACCAGGAATTTAACTTCCTTCTCTGACTCTGAGGGACCCTGTTTCAGCTTGGGGCATTCCTTTTTCCAGTGTCCGAGTTCTCTGCAATAAGCACGTTGATTATTTTTCAGTCCTATCCCAGTCCCT